CTCAGGCCACCAGGGTCCTGTCTGGGCATGGGGTGACCTGGAGGAGGTAGAGACAAAGATGAGAGATACCAGCCATGACTCAGAAACACCGCACCGCATCCTGATTCAGGAGCCTGAATCACCTCGCCAAAGCCCTCTGAAATGCCCAGCCGACGGCTGACTCAGGGGCAGCCCCACGGACAGCTGCCATTGTCTGGAGACAGTTTTGATTGTTGCAACTTGACATTAGGGGAGCTTTTGGCACCCACACAAACAGGCCGGGGTCAGCTGTAAACACCCTGCCACAGCCAGGACTGTTCCCACAGGAGACGTTGGCCTTCCGCATCCCGCCCGCGGCGTGACTCGGGGCCAGCCCCACGGACAGCTGCCATTGTCTGGAGACAGTTTTGATTGTTGCAACTTGACATTAGGGGAGCTTTTGGCACCCACACAAACAGGCCGGGGTCAGCTGTAAACACCCTGCCACAGCCAGGACTGTTCCCACAGGAGACGTTGGCCTTCCGCATGTCGCTGAGAACCCCTGCCCCACCGGGAGACAGCGCAGAAGGCGGGCGGGCGCTCCGCCCTGACTGCGTCTGGGTGTCCTGCATTCTCACGCTGTGAGAACGAACGCGTGGTCTCGGAGGGGCAATTTACGAGAGGAGCCGTATCTCAGGATTCTTAAGCATTTGTCTCCTCTGAGCTCAGAGAGCATTTCCAGGACAATGCTACTGTATATTCGTATGACGTAACGCGGAGGGTCCCATTCTCCCTTCGCAGATAGACATGATCTCCAGGGTCCCGAGAGCTCGTTAGTGAGAGGGTCAGAATCCATGTGTCCTCGAGCCCTTTTTGATGTTCACAAAATGAAAACGGTTCTTTGTTCCTGATTATAAAAATGATACATGTACATTGTCCCTTTAAAAATTCAAACAGTACAGAGACCAGCAGTTAGTGTAATGGCTATGTTGCTGGACTCCCACGTAGTCAACCGCGGTTCATGTCCCGGACCCGGTGGCTTAGAACTCACGCTGGGCGCGTGTGCGTGCGTGCCCAAGATCCCGAGAGGAGAATGGAGGAGAGGGGATTGCGGCGTGGCCATCCCCCCTGGGGGGTGATTTCTCGCTTTCTGTCTCTCTGTCTCTCTCTGTCTGGCGAGCACACGCACCCTATAGCAAAAACCTCTCCAAAAAAAAAAAAAAATCAAAAAGTACAGAAAAAACCTTTCTATGTTACCCAGGCCGTCCTCAAACATGGGCTCCTCCTTCCTCAGCCT